CAAATGCTGACAAAACTATTTCTAATAAAATATAGTAATAAATATATTTAGTTCCAAATACAATAAATAATTTAGTCAATATGATGATATCAGAAGACAAAAAGATACACACACACGCAACTAATCTAAACTAATCTTTCATATCAACTGATTTCAGTTAGATTTTAACTAACTTCTTGCTTGTTTAGATGTTTAAATATTCCCTGAATAACAAGAGTGAAAAGTCACGATAAAAAACAAAGTCCCAGTAGCTACTCAGTCACTGTGCTGTACAAAGAACTCCTAAAACAAATAGTGCTCTCCTTTTGTTTGTGGTTGCAGCCTTTTAAAAAGTGTATCGCCTTGCTATTACAAAATAGAGGCAGAATGATCTCGGCCCAAGGATTTCTTTCCAGCTGTTATCTTTGCTTCCCTAATCAACATCAGGCAAGAAGTGGCCGGCTCTGGACTCACTCCTATACTTACAATCTTTCTCTAACTTTAATGAAATATCAAGCAACGACTCTTATTTTGGAAAACACCTCACTACTCAGCACTGTACTGCACCTTTTCAGGAGGAAGAGACAGAGGAAAATATTATCTTGTGAAATGACTAGTGCAAAATGTATCTATCTAAAATAACCCATGTAAAAAAAATTGCACCGTTTAAAAGGTATGAGTTGCAGGTGGTATTTGGCTTGACCAAATTTTCAAAATTATATTTCCCTTGTAAAATAATGAAAAAGTCTAAGTTAGTCTATCAGTTTATTTCTCAAGGAGATTTTATTAACAACAAAATAAACTGTATATCTTCATTCAACCAGATTGCTCATAAACTTTTACTTCTCCATTGCTTTTTAACTTCTCTATTAAAAATGGTTCAGTGGAAATCACATATTTAAGACGAGGATTTTACTCATAGTATTCTGAAAAGTATTGTATCTGAATTATGTTCCCAAAATACAGTTAGGAAAGCAAAAAGGAGAAACATCAACAATATTATTACAATTTAGCATTCTGTAACTCTTGTCAATCCAGAAAAAAAAAAATGTTTTAACTTCTAAACCACAAGGAAAATAACTATCATAAAACTTCAGAGCAATTATAAAAAGAGTAGTGTCTTGTTTAGAATTGTGAGGAATAAAAAGCTCATATTCAGCTCTTCACAGGTCACAAAATATTTTTACCTACATTACATTACTTGAACTGTATATTTCTGCTGTAAAATAAGCAAAGCAGGCAGTGCCACGGGCTTTACAGTTGAGTGAGAAAGAAGGGGGCTTTGGAGCCCAGTGAACCTTTGGAGTGCAGGCCCGCTCCATCCTTGTGGACGATGTGGTTTGGGACTAGGTCCTGACCCTGGCTGAGCTTCGGATTCCTCATTCATCAAATAAGCATAATTGCCACTGCCCTTCAGGATTATTGTGAGGATGAAAGATACATGATGCTTACTATGGTACCTAGCACATTGGACAAACATCATAAATGACAAAGCTAGCAAATGAGAAAGAATAAGAATGGAGGTATTTTAATTCCTGGTTTATTATTCCTTCAACTCCGAAATACTACCTCTAATACTGCTAAATAAAATATGATAAATCTTGAGTTACACAGAGGTAAGTTACCTCCGTATCACTTCTAAAGCGATTACATTAGAAAGGGAGAGGGGCTGCTCAAAGCTAATACCCTGAAAAGAAAGTTAATAGTAAGAATCATCAGTAATAACGGAGTATAGGGGTAAACAGGAATTCCCTAAGAATAAGTACATTGCTTAAGATAATAGAGAAATGTGATACAATTTAGGTAGATTCCTGTTTTTTTTTTTAAAAAAAAAATAAGCTAATTGTCTCTTTAAATTTTAGTGCTTTTATGATTCAAGGTTATATTTCCACAAAAGTTATGGAACAAGCACATTATCCTTCGGTGATGTTAAGAAAAAAATAAGGCTGTTTTTCTTCTTAAAAAGTTCATTTGAATGCCAAAAAATCCCTCAGATTCCTTCTTTTACAATCACTGGATTATGGTCATAACAAGCATTATTGAGGAAATATTAACATTGTTCTTGTTAATTAAACAACTGATTTTCTCATACTCAAGGACAAAATATCTTTATTTCTCACTTGGGCAAAAGATTTTGTCTTCAAATGTATTTGTTTAAATTGCAGTCATTTGTAGTTATTTATTGAAATAAGTAAACTGGTCTAAATTGCTCAATGAGGCCAGAAAAAATGCTATTAAAACTTATAATTTCCTACTACCCTTCTTCAAATTCTTTTGATGCCACAGTCAATAAAAAGTAGTAGAAATAAATAAAAGACTGATTGGACTATATCAGAAAACTAATGAAGAAACAAATGCTATTAACAGAGAGTAACCACACACTCCTGTATAAAATCAATATGAAAATATTTCTCCTTTTTAAAGTTTAGGTAATTTGATGTGAATTTAAGGACTAGTTTTATTTTAAATGAAAAAAAATATTTAAAAAAATATGTCCTTAACTACTCAATATTCCTGTGCTGCTTTTTCACAGATCAACATTTGTTTTTACCTAATTGCATCCTTTGTTCTATTAATGTCCTCTTTTATTACCTTTTAGTCTCCATGAATATGCTTCTCTTTACACATGTTCTGCAAGGGCCTCATGAAAGGAAGAAGGCTTAACAGGCATGACTACGGGAACTCACAGGACAGAAAATGTTTTTTGGAAATCTGCATGTATTCAAGGATTCTTCAACCATAGTTCTAGATTCAAATGTGGATCTAGATGTTCTTATGATTTTCCTATGTTGTACACTTTTACTCAGAGCCACAATAATTATAAAGCTCCACTATATTCATATTTATTTTATCATAACCATGGGCATTAGCAACAAAAACAGTGTATAAACTACCACTGCAATGATGTATATAAAGAGGAGAAAATAGATGCATCTCTAAAATTTCTTAATTATTTTTGCTTAAGGAAACAATTTTTTCTTCAGTTTTTATTAATGTTGATTTCATCTACAGTGATCTTTCTGGTGGCTTTATGTGTAAAAAATCTTCAAGAGATATTCAGAAGAGACAGGAATTCTGCTTTTCTCCAATCAGGGTAGGGAAGGCCTGCTACCACTCTTGTTTACTGAATGTTTTCTTATCACAAAGATCTCTTATCCTTATAAAGAATATATTATAGCTATTAAAGCAAGAGCTTTGAAGCCAGGTAGAACATGTTGAGTTCAGATTCTGGCCGCTACTAGCTATGCGACCTTGAACAAATTATTAAGCTGAGTATCCCCATAACAATGGGGTGATCAAAGTGCCTCATAGGGTATTGTAAGGATTAAATGAGATAATATTGGTAGAGCTCTTGGGAGAGTTTCTGACACATATTAGTGCTCAATAAATATGAACACTAATTATAATTACTACTATTACTATGAGAGAAAAGACAAAGTTAAACCAGTTTATGTCTTTGAAGAATGGGTCAATATCATGACATAGACATATTCTTCACAAGCATAGTCTAGATGACAAATGTTTGGAGTTGTCCACTAAGAACTGTTTTTTGAAATACACACACATACACACCCTAGACAGATATATACCTCCTAATTAGTAATTAGGAGAACATTATTAATTTTTGTTAGATTATTCATCTTTTTATTTCAAATCCTAAATAATTTTGCTTTATTTTTTCTAAAAATAATCTCTGTGCATCTCTAAAATAACCCAAAATACAATAATTAAAAAATAACAACTGACAGTCAAGCATCCTTTTTAAAGGTCCTTTCTTGCTGTACTCATTGAAATTATGATTTCTTGAACTAGGCATTCCTTTTAGATAAAGATTGGCTCCCTCAAATTAAAATAAGAGTTCAAA